GTGTGTGTATATATATGTTATATTTATATGTGTACACATATATATATATATGTATATATATATATACATATTTATTGCAATTTAAGAAAAAAACACTAAAGATATTGCTATGTGGAAATTCAGAGCTTGGAACATAAATCAACTGTACAAATTAATTGAAAAAGGAAAATGTATCTTTGCTTGGATGGCTAGTGCTTTCCCCAATCACCTTAGAATGAGGCAGAAGGGGAGGCACCTAGTTTTTTCCTTTTTCTTTTTTTTTCTTTTTTTTTGAAGCGCCCTGTGAAATGCTTCTCCACAGACTGCTCCCAAGTTTCTAGCTACGTGGAAGATTTTCATTACATGCAAAGTAGATTTCAAATTAATAGAGAGGTTAACTACCAAAAGTATAAAAAGAAATAAAGGTTATAGATATATAAGAATTAAATTAAAAATTATACCTGCTGGCGTAAAACTTTTGCTTATGAGAGATACAAAAATGTAGTAGATTTTACCCAAATAATGCAATAATCTGTAAAAATTAAAGAATACAATATGAGATGATAGGTTAGCAGATAAAATCAAAAAGGCTAAAAAGGAAAAAAAGTTAAGAAGAAAAATGATAATCCAAACATGTGTAAAGTCACACGATCGAACATGAAGCTTTTGAGTTACCTTGGAATATATGGAGCAATGAAGAGAGGAATGCAAGGAAAGCAGAAATGAGACTGGAAAAACAGTTGTTAATTCTGCAGCGAAACCAATTGGTTAGTTATGTTGTAGTTTTAACAAAATATTGTAATATTACTAGCAGCTTGAAAAGGAATGAATGTAATAAAATTAATGATTTGTATACAAAAGTTGATTGATAGTATAACATGCACCTTTGCTTAAGCGACTTTGAGCGACGGAAGAAAGGATAACAATATTGCTAAGGCTTCTCCCCGAATTGCCCGCAGGTACTTACTTTCCAGCCAGCTACCTTCAAAATCAATTTAAAATCAATTTTCATTACATATACGTAGAGTAGAAACCAAGATGTAATAGTTATAAAAGCAGAAAACCAACATCTAGAATCGAATCCTTTAGAAGAAAGAGAGTAAAATCCAAAAAGCTAAAAAAAAAAAAAAAAAAAAAAAAGGTAAGTTTTACCATTTTGTTAACTTGGACTTAAGCATATTGGAAGTTTAAGTAGCATTAACATGGTACAGCAGAAGAAGTTTAAGTGTAAAATTTAGGGACTTGAAATATTATTTATGTGCATGCAAGATAGAAACTTACCATTAATTTTTCATTACCCTTTCCGTTTGCATGTGCTAGAACCTTGTGAAAGATGATTTTTTGATTGAAAATCTGCAAGAAGCGAAAGTCGGTAGTCACGTTAGTTGTTGTACTGTTACTTTATCTTGCTTATTTGCTGAATGTGTGAACTAAAAGTAAGAATGAAGTACATGCAGATACATTTGAAAGATTGGATCATAACGAGAACTGAACCATGGCTAGTCCATTGTTGGCTAAAGCATGTGTTTAATTTTTTACTTTAATAAATTTAAAATTTTTATAATTTCATCTTAAATTATGAAGTTTTTACTTCCCAAACTTAATACTTCCCAAACTTAAATTGATGTTTTAGTAGGGGGAAATTTTTCCTCTTAAAGTTTTTTAAACTTTTCATCTTACAAGGTTATTTATATATTTTCATATGTTAATATTACAACAAAATGAGAATAAAAGTCATATTCAATTTACATTTTCCCTAACATAAATTCTCAACTTATAAAATTTTCTTTCCACCTATTTTGTAAGAAAATTGTTTTTCCATAACTATCCGTATATTTTTCCTACTCAACAACTTTTCTTATATTAGTTCTTTGCCAAACACAATAAAATTAATAACCTAACAAAATCATAACAAAACTTCATTGTAAAATTTGGGCTGTGTTTGGTATTGTGATTGAGAATTTTTCTTCTATTCATAAAATACTTTTAGATATAGATATATATATATATATATGTATTTTTTAATTTTTTTTGAATTTCATTTTCAAAAAAGTGTAAAAAATCATAATAAATCTACAATAATTTTATATATAAAGCACAACATCTCTTTTTTGAGCCTTTTAATTATAGCTTTCATAGAAGTACATAAATTTTTAATATAATTATAAAATTATTCATTAAAAACCCAATATTATTTAATTCAAATTTATTGTAATTCATAATATTTTATTTAAACATAACCTCTTATTTATTTGAAAATTTCATAGAAACTAAAAAACTTATCTTCTCCTTATTAATTGCTCTCCTACTAAAGAAATCTAAATTAATAATTAGTAAAATTTATTATATATCATGCACAATACTTTTAAGAATTAAAAAATCAAATACTTTAATAACTTTCAATTATAATACTTCACACAGTAATTTCCTAAATACTTTCCCAGCATAAAGGAAAGAATGAAGAAAACATTACAAGTCAAGATTTTGATAGATTTAGGAAGAGATTTTATTTTATTCAAATTTCTTAAAACACACCCTAACAGTAATTTCCTAATTACTTTCCCAACAAAGAAGAGAGAATGAAGAAAGAATTACGAGTTGAGATTTTGATAGATTTAGGAAGAGGTTTTATTTTCTTCTAATTTCTAAATATGTTGTGGTATTGGCGCGCCAGGAGGTTTGAACCTTCCTCCTTCCACAACCGTTTCAAGTTTTCCACCACTAGGCCAGCATAAACGTTCTTGTGGTGTGGAAATTATCTTATAAGTTAGAATAAAATATTAAAATTAGTAAATTTATTATTGAGTTTATTAAATTTATAAATGCAAAAACAGAAATTAAATTTTAATTTATTAATTATCTAATTAAATTTATCAATTAAATACCAACACTAAAATTAATATCATTTTTTATATTTTTTTTCATTCATTTTTTATTTAAAAAAAGCCTTAACAACTTTAGAAGAACCCTTTTTTATTTTATTTATTAGAGTTACATGTTAGAATAGCTGTTTCTTATTTTATTTATTAGGGTATGAATTAGAAGAACTATTTTTTATTTTATTTAATAAAAAACTTTTCTAACTTGATACAAGTTAACATATTCAAAAAAAAAAAATTAATAAAATAAAGTATAAAAATTAGTTAACACTTAAAAATAAAATAACAAGAATTAAAGTCTTTACCTTTAAACTTAAATTATAAATCATATTGCTAAATAAAATAATTTTTTATTTTTAAGAATTCAAAAACTTTTTTGAGAAGAAGAATTTAAAATTTTTATTTTAATAAAATCATAAATTATAATAATTGGATAGGATTCACAATTTCAATATTCAAACATTAAATAGAGTTTCTAAAGAAATTAAATAGGGTTTAATTTAGTGGTATTATTCTTTTTCTTTTATTTTTTTTTATTTTGATGATAAAAAAATAAAAAATAAAAAACTCATTTGTAGCCTTCTTTTGGGGCTAACCGTCCATGGACAATGGGCGTACTCCCTCAATTAACCCTTTTATCTCTCCTAGTTTGCCAAAAATGCCATTTGAAAAAAAAAAAAAAACCAAAAAACAAAAAACTTAAAAACCCGAACTCCAAAAACGGAACGAAAGCCCCTTCCATTCTCCATGTTTTGGTTTAATTAGAAATAATTAAAATTATTTTTAATGGCTAATTATTTAATTATAACATAGTATTAATCTATTAATTTTCACTGAACTAATCATTAAAATAGGGGCGAAAAAAATTGCCAGCCAAGCAAACAAAAAGAGAGATAACAGTTATTGAAATAATCTATAGAAATAGGGGTCATTTGCCACCATTAGAAGAGTTAGAGGATTTAAAACCTTCTGTTTTATGTATAGGGCCTGATTTGCCCTTCAGCCACTAAAAGTATTATACCATACCTCGGTTCAAATTGTAGTTATCTTATTTTGATTGATTGATTTAGTTTTTTATATCTTATGAACATGAATTTCAAGGAGAATTTTTTTTTTTACTAAGCCTCTAGTACGCAGAAGCTATATTGGGCTACACTTATCCAAAGTTGAATTAGGTTTTTTTTTTTTTTTAACAGGAAAAATGATTAAAAATTAGAAGTTAAGTTAGTACCTTACTCTTGGTAAGATTCGATCACTGGTCAAAGGTGCAATCCACCAGCAGCTCTGTTGGGTTGCAGTGGCCACCAATGGACTACAACAAGAGAATGCAAAGTTGAATTATGTTGGATCTAATAAAGAAAAGGTTTTTTAGCATTTATCTCTCAATTCATAAAATTTATTTAAAAGATATCAAATTCCTTTCACTCAAAATAACAAATCATTGGTTCAAATAAGAATTTAATATAATAAACAAATGACAATTAAAAATTTTTACAAGTAAATGAAACTACTAAGAAGAACTACATATATAAATAAAAAATTTCAATTATCTTAAATGAAGAAAGTAAAATGACAAATTAAGACATTATACACATAAAAACTAGTCTTTGCTAAAAAATAAATAGGTAAAATAGGATATGATTATTTTCGCATAACAAAATATTAAAATTATACAAATTATTGAATATTATCTTTAAAATTACTAATTTTGTTTCGTTTAACTATTAAAAACAAAAAATAGTTGTAGTTCTCTCTTCTTTTTATTTTTGTCCTGAAAGGCAACAAATAGTTGTTGTTAAACAATACTTTCTCGTCCTTTTTTAGTTGTTCTAATCTTTCTACTTTATATAAATTAACTTAATAATTTTAAAAATAAATAAATTATTATATGATTGCGGATTCAAAGAATGACTTAAATCAATTATATATATGCATGGTCGATTGGAAGAAGAAGATATACCTT